CTCAACTGCTTTCTCCCCTGTATAGAGATGAAAATGCCTGTATGACCGACTCCTTGGCTCTGGCCCTACGTTATTGACACAATTAACCTGGAGACGCTCAAGTGCTTGTTCAGTGCTGTGCCTGGGGTGCCCACGTTGCCCTTTCAGACTAATTTCTGGGTCTTCTTTGTTTTCATTCAGGTTCTTTTCTCTGAGTGCTGGGGCAAGTGCCCTCTCTCCTGTCTCTCCAGTGCTTTCTATTTCCCCAAACAGTACTTTCCCGTTTCCTTAGCCTTCCAGAGGCTGCTAGAGCAGCAGGCTTCCTCCTGTTTCTTTCCTTAGCTTGGCCAGTGTATGGGCAGAGCTCACGCTGTATCTTTGCTTCTCTCTAGGGCAACGACATCATTGCAGCAGCCAAGCGCATGGCTCTGCTGATGGCGGAGATGTCTCGGCTGGTAAGAGGGGGTAGTGGTACCAAGCGGGCACTTATTCAGTGTGCCAAGGACATCGCTAAGGCCTCTGATGAGGTGACTCGGCTGGCCAAGGAGGTTGCCAAGCAGTGCACAGATAAGCGGATTAGAACCAATCTCTTACAGGTACTTGGGGAAATAGGCTCATGCGTGCGTGTGCGTGTGTGTGAGACCAGAGAGGAGAGGAGGGAGGGAGGGAGGGAGGGAGGGAGAGAAGGGGAGGAGAGAGGAAGAGAAGAGAGAGCACCTGGGTGGGAAGCGTGACTGTGAGGGAAAAGGCAGAGAAGAAATTGGGAGAATTGGGAGGAAGAGGCACTCAAGAAAGGCAGGTAACAGCAGCAAGGCAGTGTGTGGATACTTGGAGAAAATAGACCAGAAGTTTATTTTCTAACCCAGTAGAATTTGAATGCCTCCATTTATGAACCAGTTGGGTCAGGACTGACCCTAGGGATAAAAACAAGTATATGTGTGCTGCTCATTTATTGAGTACTTATGCATGCCAGCGACTGGGAATGGAGCTGGGTATATTTGCCTGCAAGGAACTTGGGGCAAACAACCAAGAAATACCAAATGAAACTTTCTCTGTAGGTATGTGAGCGAATCCCAACTATAAGCACCCAGCTCAAAATCCTGTCCACAGTGAAGGCTACCATGCTGGGCCGGACCAACATCAGTGATGAGGAATCCGAGCAGGTATGTGCTGCTGCTCTGGGTTCTGTTTCTCTAGCTTCTTTGCTGTTTAATTTTAGCTTTAGGACAAACTTACCTCTGAATTAAGAATGCAGCAACTCTTTATCTTGCCTCTGGTGGCCCTACTCTGAGCCACACTCCCCATTTTCTTATGGTAGAGCACATCTTGGTTACTTGTGTACAGAGGACCCATCATTATTTTAAAAGTTAAAATGAGAGAGACAATCTTTCCCCGTTAGGGAACTCACAAGTATTTGGGAGCCCAACTGCTTCTGACTTCTACAGAGGCTGGGGCACCATTGAGGAACATGGAGGACACTCTTCCTGTTACCACAGCTGTTTACACCAAGTTATTTTACTTCAACAGCTCTCACCTCCCCTACTATGGGAGCTTTATGAACATCCCCAACTTCCAGGTCTTGCAAGTGGAGTTTGGTACTGGGTTACTTTCCTTAGTGGGATGTCTTCTGCCTAGAGACAGGTGAGGCTGGGAAAGGAAGGGTCAGACTGCGATCATGCTAACACACGTCAAGTTAATTAACAATGCATGGTGAGCCTCTGTGTGTTCCATTAAGTGAAAACAGGTAGAAAGAGTGTGGCTGAACGGAACAAACACAAGATACAAATGAGGAGTATTGAGTAGGACCTGACAGTTGTGAGTTTTGCTGGCAAGGCTCCAAGCCTTTCTGGGCCCATGAGCCTTCATAACAACAAGATGTTAAGAATCTAGACGACAGATACTTTCCTCAGAGCCCTCTGAAGTTTATGCACACATTCACTCATGTGACACATTTTTCTGGGGAAACTCTACAGCCTTCATTAAGTCCTCAAAAGACCTATGACTTAAAGATAGTATTACTACCCTAGAGAATCATTGAGTTGTCTGGCTGTGAGTAGACTTCTTGCTAGATTCCTGTCCTGAGTTTGTGTTTGGAAAATTAATGTACATACACTTATGAGGTAGTTGGTTGCTTGGTTTTATTATTCTTATTCTTATTATTTTGTTTTGTTTTTTTTGAGACAGGGTTTCTCTGTGTAGCTTTGTGCCTTTCCTGGAACTCACTCTGTAGCCCAGGCTGGCCTCGAACTCACACAGATCCGCCTGCCTCTGCCTTCTGAGTGCTGGGATTAAAGGCGTGTGCCACTACCACCCAGTTGGTTTGATTATTTTCATTTGTTGTTTATTAAATGCCTCTTGTCCTTAATAGTGGAGAGCAGTGAATAAAAGTAACAAAAATCTCTGCCCTATGGAACTTAAAATTTAGTACAGATAGATAAATCAACCCCCTCCCCTCAAAAAACCAAAAACAAATGCCAATGAGTAAAACAAAACCTATCCCCAAAACAATGTAGGTAGAATATATAGCATACCAATTAGTGATGATCGATTTTATGAAGAAAAAGAATCATCTGAAGTGAAGAATGCTAGTTTAGGTGGTGTGTGACTTAACATAAACAAAAAGGAAGGGTTCCCCTAACGTGACTGCTTAGCAAAGATCTGAAGGACAGTGGAGGGAGAGCCCTGGGTTACTTGGAAGAAAAGTGTTGCAGGTAGAGGAAATAGCAGGAATCCCAAAAGATCACCACCTTTGAAAACCAAGATCGAGTACATGATGTCATCCATACAAGGATGCAATGTACAGTCGGTGGTGTGTTCTGTTTTGTTTATACAGTTAAACCACCAGTGATGCAACAAGGGTTGGACACCAGTGCAGGTGGGGCTAACTGCAGTCAACACCTGGCTTCACGGTTTCTTGAAGGCAGCACTGCATTAGGGACTACAGTAATAGGGTGCTTTTATTGCAGGCCACAGAGATGCTGGTTCATAATGCCCAGAACCTCATGCAGTCTGTGAAGGAGACGGTGCGAGAAGCAGAAGCAGCTTCAATCAAAATTCGAACAGATGCTGGATTTACTCTGCGCTGGGTCAGAAAGACTCCCTGGTACCAGTAGGTGCCTAGCCGAACCTGGCTGGAACATAAGCCTCTGCTAGAGAGAAGAGAATGATGAGTTCCAGAAGCCATTCAGAGTTGCCGGGAGTAGAAATCAATTCCTGGTCTCACACACCAGAAAGGAATGGGGGCTTCTTCACATAGAAAACATTTACACTCTTGTCATGGACACTTTGAACTGTGTCTCTGTATGAACCCTGTACTCTCAGTTACTCCTGTGCACAGTCACCCAGTAAGTGGACTGGGTCTCTAGCCCATGGATTTTACATAAGCTCAGAATAAGAGTGAACACTAGCTGGAAGCCCTGCTCTGCCCCAGGGAGCATTTCCCTCTCTGTTTACGGTTCACTGACTCCCCTTTTCCTCTTCAGGCCAAGACGTAGAGCTGAGGCAAGTCAGTTAATAACTGTGCTTCCAAAAGTTATTTTGGGGTTTCCATGTTGCTGCTGACCCTGCCTACCTTCCCTGGGCTGTTTATCATTGCTGCAGGATAAGGTGATTTCTGGGGAGGGCCAGCTTACGTGGCCTGGATTCATTTCCTGCTTTCCCCTCATGTAATCCTAGTTCCTCACAATGTAAAACCAACTTTCATTGTCGGGAGGAAATCACTTTCTGTCTTTACCATGCCCCTGAGTAATATCTGTGCTAGGGAAACTTCCTGCCTCACATCCTGCCTTGCTTGGTTGCCAAGGTAACCATCCAGCAAACACACTGGTGCTCTCTGCCACTAGAGGGTCAGAGTAGCTGGGGTGTGATCCTGCCCATCCTCTTAGTGGGGCCACTCCCAGGTTTTCTATGCTTTGTCACTGCCAGTAGAGGTCCCTGCTGAGGCCTTAGCATTCATTCTTAGTCCCCCCCCCCCCCCCCCTTTTTTTTTTATTTCTGAGCTGAAATGCTGCATTTATTTTTAACCAAATCATCCAGGCTTTGGCAGTCTTCTATAATGCTTCTTAAACAAGACTTTAAAGATACATAGGTATGTGTTTGTCTGTAGTCCCCCAGCCCACTTTTTTTTTTTAAATTTTTGAGACTGAGTCTCTTTATACTGTCAGGCTAGTCTTGAACTTCTGGGTTCAAGCAATCTGCCTGCATCAGACTATTAGCACCTACCAACCACATTTGTTTTCCTTGTAACTTTGGAAGGTCCATTCAAAATTAAGTCCTAAAAATTAGGGCTTGCTCCTTAAGAGACTTGATGGAAAGGCAGTCCTGTCTGAAAGATACTTCTTGTGTCAGGGAGACTAGCATTTGCAGATTACGATGCTGGTGCTGCTAGGGATAAAACAATAGAAATTATTATAATTCCTAGTTGCTTTTAACCAACTACAACCAAGTCTTTTTCATCCTCTCCCAAATATTCAAGAGTAATGAGTGGGATATCTAATTATCAGAAAGGTATGTTTCCTATCTGACAAAGTCAGAGAAAGCGACTTCCCCTTTTCTGTATTTACCCCACAAGCATTTCCCAGGACATGAATACTTATTTCAGAAGTCAAGACCCAGAAGAATACAGGAGTGAGACCCTTTCCTGGATGTTCTTCCCATATCTATGTGTTCAGTCCCAACACTGAATGTGTACACCTTCAGTTGATCCTGTATACTCAGGCTTCCTCTATTTCCTTTCAGCTGATCATTTTCAAAGCTCTCAGCATATCTTTATAGTTGCTTACCTGATATAAATGCATATCAATGCCTTTAAAGTATGACTCTATGCCAAAGATCACCTTTTGTTTTAAAGATCACCTAGAGGAACTATGAAGAGTCACGTCTGCTCTCTCTCCAAGTTCCTCCCGTGCTGGGGACGTTCGCACACCCGCCAGGTGTGCTGCTTCTCTCCAGTGTCAGTGCTTACATTGGAGACAAGAGGAAACAGTCCCCAAATGAGTTAGAGATGCCACCACTAACAAAACTACATTTATAAGCTAGGATTTATTATATACAGATATTTTCTGCCTCTTCTTTTGTTCTGTTTAAAACAATAAAATACATTTATATGAATAACGTTCTGAATGATGGACATGCTATTTTACTAACAACTTTAGGTCAGACTCATTTTATTTTTGAAGAATAGCCAATGAAACTAAGATTCTGGATCTGGATTTTATTAATAAAAAAACTAAAAATTTTATTCAATCCATAAAGGAATGGAAATTAATAGTGTATTTACGTAAGAAGGTCTATGTGATAAAGGACAATCTTGGCAACTAAACATTAGAAGGAGCAGAAATCACAAGTTACCAGTGGGCAAAGCAGCCAGATGTGGGTTTACCCCGGATTGATGTAACTCTCATTTTAGATTTTTAGCTGTTACTGGAGACCACAACTGTCCCTTAAAAAAGCTGAAGTTGTGAAATGTGAGGGGCACTTTCGTGTGTTCCAAACCCCAGTATAGAACAGTTTTGTCAAGATCCACTAGGGCTGTGAGGCAAAACTATCTTTGCTTGAGGAAACACTGATTAAAACAAAAACATGTTTTTGCCTAATTTTCTAGAACTGGGAATGGGGGAGGTTAAATAATACTGTAGGATAAAATTTAAATCATTGCGTTGACTAAGAAGTTCCCAACTGTAGAAGTGGATTGCAGCTCGTGTCCAAGGCTGCGGAAGTAGCGTAGCTAACACTGTAGTTGTTTTTTCTAATCAGTTGCTTCTAAGGACAACAAAACCAGCATATTCCCAGGTTTCCTCTGTAGCACCATTTAAGGAATGAACCCACCAGCTGAATTGTGTGTGTGTGTGTGTGTGTGTGTGTGTGTGTGTGTAGTGGGGAAAGGGGGGTGGCGCTACCTCTTGCAGAAAATAAGTATCTATTTTATTTGCTCTTAGATTATGGTTCCTTAAGAACAAAGAAAAGGGGAATATGCTGGATTAACCAGAACTCCATGTTTTAAAATCTTGGATCTATATGGGAAGTGGTGATGAAGATAGCTTTGATCACTTTTACCATTAGTCTGTGACCAGAAAGGGGACACATTAAAAAAATGAATGGCTATGAATGTGCTCTGCTTAGGAAAGGGCCTCTTGTATGTTCTTCAAGCAACTATAACACAAGATGCCAATCTGGTGCAGCCAGCTCTAAAACAGTCTGCATGAGAGAATGTTCCATCAACAATCAAACTTTAAAAAAAAAATCAGTTTGTTGCTTTCATATTTTTATTGACATGATAGCCAGAGCTAGGGACAGGACTTACTGGGCTCTATCAAATTAATAAATACAATAAGGAACATAGTCTGCTTGGCTGTTTTAGCAGAAATTATTAGAGATGAGGGACTCTTGGTATATGTTCCACTTTGACAGACAAGACTGCACAGGAGGAATGTTGGACAGTCTAGGTATGGATGGTGAGACAAAGGATTGTGAAGAAATTCAACTGTTATGATTGTTTTTGAGGTAAAAGACAAGATATTAGAACTAGAGCTAGATAACCAATCTTAGTCAAAGGGAATAGATATTTTGCATTTTGACTTAAAGCTGCCAATCTAAGATTGGTTACTCAAGAAATTTCTATTTGAAATTGCAAAACTGGCCTTTCTTCGTAGATGAGGGCAACAGTAACAGTGCTCCTGCATTATGAGCACTCTAACAAGGAGTGAGCATAAGTCATAAATAGCATGGTAAGGGACAGATGAAAGAAAATAATGGGCCACAGGACAAGAAAACTAACAGTTTAAAGAGAAGCAAGGGGAAATGTCATGGGTCACAAGACTATGAAACAGGGAGAGCAAGCACTTATATCTTAACTTTCAGCCTTCCTCCATTTTCTTTGTATCTAATGAGGCAAAGTCACTGTGTAAGGATTTCCAAGTGAATGGTGCAGAATGGAATGAGTCATAGGCCGACTTTCCAAGCTAACGCTCAATTGGTAGAAATCATCACTGAGGACGCTGTCTGTCCTTCAGTATAACGTTCTTCTGCGTACACAGTACAGCAAAGACACTGGCGTGCTGCAGTCGCACTCTGACAAGGTGGGAGGTTTGGGAAGGTGCCTATCACAATGGCCTTGGATACACATACTATGAAGAAGAGCACCTCCAGATACAGGGCACAGGGAACTCCAACCACATAAGCACAGAAAGATCAAACAGTGAAAGGAGAAAAGAACAGCAGTGAAGCAGATGTATTTTCCTCCTCTTGCTCGACTAGTGCAGGAGGTTTTCAGGCTAACTAGGTTAGAGTGACATTACATAAAGCTTTAATAAAACATGAGAATGGCAAAGGTTTTGCTTAATTTTCTTTTACTACTTTAATTTAAAAGCACAAATACTTGTGCCTGCATTAACTTCCTAAAAGCAGAAGTAGTGTTCCCTTTTATTCTCTTAATAAAGTATTTGCCCCTTTGATGCAAATGATTTTGACTGTGCTATCTAGCAGCTGAACTGATGGCTGATGGTATATCTACTGCAGCAAGGTCTTTGTAAATCAAAATCTGAGCTTTACATAAAAATCTTATTTATAAAAAATATAATACCAAGTCAGTGAGAATGGAGCACGGAGCAGCAGTGCTCCCTGCCAGGCCATGTGGAAGTGGCTTTGCTACAGTGCTTGCTTAATGGCACAAGTGAAGAGCTGAGTAAGGCAAACACTTGAAGAGGCAGTTTTCTGTAAACTTCTTGGGGTGGGGAAATCTCCTCTTGTGGGACAGACACTGATTTGAGATGGCTAAGATCAGAAGGTGTGACACTTGGCTGCACATGACACATCCCGGCTGAGACAGTTCCTGCTGGTGGATGAGACCAGTTCACTGGCTTTTGGAGAGAGGCTACCGCTCGATGTAGCCTTCTGCCTTTACTGTACAATGTGCAGCATTCAGCTGGTAGCCCCCTTGGAAGAAATCTAAATCTTTTCCCAAGTGAAAAGATAGAAAATAAGCTAAGTCTTTTGAAAACTTTCCTTAGCTTAAAGCTCCTTAAGAACCCTACATTGATACTAAGCAACTTTGTTAGCAGTGCAGCCTGACACAAATGCTTTATATGTATTCCCACCCACTTGGTACCTAATAGTAATAAACTGTAATGACACTTGAAAAACAAACATCTTGAGGAATTCTGGCCTCTTCTCATGTCCTCACTTGAAACTTCCCAGCTTTTGTGACATATTTGACTCCTTTAAATGGCTTGTATTTCTCCCCATACATGTCCAAGCGGTTCACCTTTAAACCTGTGTCAAAAAAAATGAAACAAATCATTACTATCCCAGTAATAATGCAAGACTTCTTTAGCAATGAACACTGCACTCTAGATGTGACACCGCACAGTGTCATTTTGGAAACAATGTCCTTTTTCTATCACCATACTCTGGAGAGTATAGCTGATGTCTCTATGGCCAGAAAAAAATGCTCGTGAAGCTAGCTAATTCTACTTCCTATGAACACAAATGGCTGCTTCTCTGGTGCTTAAATGAAGGTGGAGTGGGGCATGTGTGATGGAAGACTGTGAAATAAGCTGTTCTCCCAAATTCTTGGTGTCTGGAGGCCAGCACCACGGTAGGCAATTTGGAGCTGCGACTCTTTCTAGGGTGGAACTGTCAGAACTCTTCCAAACTCCTAATTCCGATTTCCCCTAGACACACAGCAAACTTATCTTTACCTGAAATAGCAAGCTGCTGAATCTTGAACTGTATGTTGAGGCTTGGATTCTCTTCTGGCTTGGGTGCTCCTGACTGTAAATTCACTAGTCCTTTAAGACTCGGGAGCTTTTGTGGAGTAATTTTCCCCACATCCCATGCTAGTACCTTCAAAAGACAAGAGAAAAAAATCTGAACCATGTGTTAAAGACATGCTCAGAGGTTAACAGAGACTATAAGCTCCCACACAAAATGAAGCAGTGTCTTGGAAAACAGGAGAAGCCTGGAATAGACATCTGACTTATGCTACTACCATAAATCACCTGTGTGGGAATTGAGTAGCAGAGGAAAGTTCGGCTGCACCTGGGGTGGAGAACCAAGGTGTGGAACTCCCCTGCTTAGACTTACACAGTCCCTGGGAAGGTTCTGGAATTCTTAAGATGTTAGCTGTTCTTTTTAAATTTTATTTATATGTACATGTGTGTCTATGTGGAGTTGTGTATGTGAATACAGAGTCCATGGAGGCTAGAAGAGGGTGTGGGATCTCCTGGAGCGGAGGTTACAGGCAGTTGTGTGCCTCCAATGTGGTTGCTGGGAACCATATTTGAATTGTAACAGTAGTGCATGTTCTTAGCCACTGAGCCATCTTCCCAGCCCCAAGGTTAGAAGATCTTTTAATGCTCTATGTGCGGTGGTACACACCTTTAATCCCAGCACTAAGGAGGCAGAGGCAGGCAGATCTCTCTGAGTTCCAGGCCAGCATGATTTACATAGCGAATTCCAGGTCAGCCAGGACTACAATGAGAGACCCTGTCTCAAAAAAAACAAAAAAAACAAAAAAAAAACAAAAACAAAAACAACCAAAAAACAAACAAACAAACAAAAAAAAAAAACCAAGACAAAACAAAACAAAAACCAAAAAACAACCACCCAAAAAATGCTCTATGAAGTTATTCAAAATTACACCTTCTCATCTAGGTGTGGTGGCACATGCTTTTAATTTAGAACTCAGAGGCAGGTGGCTCTGAGTTACAGGCCAGCCTGTGCTACATAGTAAGACTCCCATCTCAAACAAGACACACCTCATTTATGAAGCACTCAATTATTCTGTTGAATTATTTTCCTACCTAAGGAAGCAGAGCAGCTGAAAGAAAACCATCTTCCATAGTCCTCTGAAAACCCTTCGCTCAAGGCCTGTGTAAGCAAGGCCAGGCCACTGCTTTCCTAACTACTGCGTCCTCCAGCCCCAGCCCCAGAACAGATTGCAGAACACTTGCTCACTCTTGATCTGAAGCGGCTGTACCTTGGTTACTGGATCAAACGTATAGCTGCCTTGTGTTGGTGTCAGGTTCATATTCAGCACAACTTTTGGCATGTGCACAGTCACTGTGATTCCTTCAATAGTTTTTCCCATATTCTGTTTCGGTCCAATTGTTATATCAAATCTGCCACAAGAACTGTTTTCCTTAAAGCTGATACTGTGTTTCACATACACTGGTATTGCCACTAGACTAAAAAAGATAGAGAAAAAGATATAAAAGTACGAATGTACACAATGAAAGGTACGGGACAGCTGCAGATGGAGTATGTGCTTCATGCTGTTTGTAACCGTGCCACAGGGTCATAGGCCCTGGTAGATGCAGCCTCGGCACTGGGGTTGTTAAGGGCAGCAATGCTCTGTATGGGCTGATAACAGACACATAAGCCCAAACAGAAATCTGGTTTAAATACAGTGTAAACAACTGGGGTGGAGGGAGGGAGAAGAGGAGAGAGAGAAGAGAGAGAGGAGGGAGAAATGATTTCTCAGAAAAAGTTTCAGTTTTGTTACCCAAATGCTTTCTGATATTTTAAAGGGACAAGTTAGCTATAAGTGACAATGTTCAACTGTTTAAAACTCAATGGAAGTTGAGTGTGGTCACATATAATCCCAGCACTCAGGAGGCTGAGGCAGGAGGACCCAGAATTTGAGGCCAGCCTGGGTTACAAATGAGGCCCCATCTTAAAAATAACGACCCCATACTTCCCCAAACTCAACATGGAGCACAGAGATTTGAAGCAGGTAGCTGAGGGAATATCTTAGGGTATGGCTATGTTGTTAGTTTACAGATCATAGTAGGATTAAGGCACCAAGTTCATGGTTTTCCCAAGTCATGCATAATCCAAAGGCTTGCTTTTAGTTACAGATTTTAACCTACTCTCCCTCACTACTCTACATGTTGAGGTTCAGAAACACTGTCTGTCTTAGGTATACATTATCACCAGTTCTCACTAGGTTTCCAGGTGAGCCATGGCTAAGTAAGCCATGGTAAACTCAAGAACTAAACTGTAAAAATGAAACAAGAGCAGGGAGTTCTATTCCAATCCTTTGTCTGTGTCGGCAAATCCTTGCTGATGCGTCACTTTACTTTTGTGAGCTGACTCGGTATGATATGAGTCGGAAATTCCCATCTGGAGGAATAAATGACAAAACTCTTTCAGATTCCCAACGTTTGAACCGGATGCACGGGTGGAAGCTGACATCATCTAGAAGCCTTGGGTTCTGTCAGGAAAAGAAAAAGCCATATGCACAGAGTATAAAGAGTATGACAACAATATTTACATATTATGATAAATTAATATGCTCCCTAAATCGTAAAAGCAGTGTAAAAATTTATTATGAGCACATAAAATTAACTTATAGTTTCATAAACTTCTAACGTTTGCAAATATTTTATATACACTACTTTACTTGAAGTTTACAAACTATGGGGAGAAAGCAAGTAGCATTATCTACATTCCACGGATAAAAACTGAGGTTGAAGACAGTCAAGAACAACTGGTAACAGACAGAACAAGAACACGTTTCTCCTAGCTGTTTTAGCAGTGTGTCATGCTGAATCTAAATGATGCAAAATATTAATGCCCCTTTACACAAGCAGAGCAGGTATCTGGTAAAAGTGACGATGGAGATACAAAAGCTAGACAGCAAATTCCGAGCCACTTGTAACACACTCTAGGTAAAAAGCTCCCTTCGATCTTTCCATAAAGGCCATATTCAACGTGTCAGCTCCTGGCTGGAAAGTTGTGCTAGGAATATTTCTGAAACAGCCTTTTGTAACCTAATATACAAACTCCAGGGCTTAATGAGTAGAGGTGCTTGCTGCTAAGCCTGAGGACCTGAGTTTGATCCCTAGGATCCACATGGTGGAAAGAGAGAATCAATTCCTGGAAGGTGTCCTCTGATCTCCACATGTGTGCCCTGATAAATACATGCCAACTCAAATACACATAAATACAAAATAAATAAAATTTCAGATACAATCTTATCTCAGTAATTATCATATCATTCAGCACTTCAAATGTATTAGGCATGTAAGGGACTACAGAGCAGATCAAAACTTACCATGAAAGAGAGAGAGAGATCAGGCATTCCAGAGAGCTTAATGCAAGCATCAATGACGCCCTGAATTTCTGCAAAGACTGTAGATCCTAGAGAAAGAAATAAAAAGACAATAACCTTAATGGAATCGGTCTTCTCTAGAGCTCTCACTGTATCTGGAGTAATGGAAACACACTCTGGGTGTCAGAACTACAAAGCTTTGCACCTCTAACAGGTTAGTGGACAGAGATCTATTACACTAGTTATTACAGCATTTCTCACTGGCTACATCTAACTGGCTAGAATATAATTCTAAGTAAGGAAGATCAAATCTTTAGAGAGTCAATCTTGTACTTATTTAAAATTGATTATTTTAACAGAATTTAAAAATGAAGGATTCTCATGAAATGGACTAAGCTATAGGCTACCTTTTAAGGAACAGGAGTCATGATTTATTGTTCTGTATGCCTGAAGGCTATAATGGAAAGAAGACAAGGTAATAACTGTTATTCACAGGAAGTCACCCTCAAATATCAACTAGCATCATGTTGAACAGGCCATGTTGTCCTCCCAGTCTCAGTTGCTTCATGTACAAGTGTGAGGCTAGGATGAGAAGTTTTATGAGTCTAGTATTTACCACCACTGTCTGTTCTGTTAAAAGCAACCAGAGGGAGCCGTTAGCTGAAGCACTGTACACAGTATAGGGAAGAACATGAGTACACAGTTACGTAATACCTGTCAGATGAGTAAGCTGCAAGCTTACAAACACCTGGTACTATCTCAATCAGTGGTTACAATAATTATATGTAACCTTTGGGCAGAATAAAAGGATTTATAAATCATTAGAAAAAGGAATGACTTTCTGCTGTAAACCACCCTGCCAGGGGATTTCAGTTTTCAATTCAAATACCAGTGTCAAATGAATTGTTTTTTCCCCAGAAGACCACATGAACACAATTACCTGATTTATCTATAATTGCATCTATTTCTTCAACTACATCAAAATAGGCCTCATTGTTTGTGTACTTCACTCCTGCTCGACGCCATGGGATGTTGGATAGCTGCCCAGTGGGGAGTGTGTCCCCAACATTACTACTGCCTAGAAATGAGAAAAGAAAGCAAAGTGGATGTGTGTAATGTTATCAGAAAAGCTATTAGAAAGGAAAATGGATGCTTCAGCTTCTGCCTTCCGTTTGGATCTCCCTTCACTGCAGTTGAGGATAGGCTCTAGAACTGCTGGAGACATAGTCCATGCATGAGGACAGAGACAGGCCACGTGCTCCCGTCTACCTGTTAGACCAAGATAAATGCATTCACTTCCCCTTTGCTTCCTGTAGTAACCCAAGCTAATCCCAATGGCTCAACAACAGAATCTTGTTCTGCGGCCAGCAATGAAAAAGGGGCGTGGCTGCTGAAGAACCTAGTGGGAAGAGGTCTCCGTAGAACACACAGTCCGAACCTGTGCCTTTGGTATTCAGGGGAAGTCTACATAAGATACTGCCAATCTGGCCTCTGGAGTACCGAGATGAAGACCATTGCTTATTCCCATTTCAACATCAGCAACCATTGGGAATGTACAGCATTTGCCTAGCATGCGCATGGCTCTATGCTTTGTCCCCAGTATAGCAAAAACAAAACAAAACTAACACCTTTCTTAAGGTCAGAATATCATTTTGGCTGAATTATGACTAATATTCATATCTGGCTAGCTTCCTGGCAAACTGCGTATGTATGGTTATCAAAACAGAAACCCTTCTACTGTGACTTACTCAACATTTTGGTTAGTTTACATTTTTAATTCAAAAGTAACCCATGCTGAACAGCAGTAAAAGGTAGTAAGTTTATAAAACATTAAAAAAAAAATCTGTTTTCTACTAACGTCAGCTACCATTAACATTTAGGCAATATTTCTTTAAATATTTTCCCCATAAGTAGCATTACAACTTTTTTTTCTATTTTGTTAATTCTGTCTGTTTCCTTCCTTCTTTCCTTCTCTCTCTCTCTCTCTCTCTCTCTCTCTCTCTCTCTCTCTCTCTCTCTCTCTCACACACACACACACACACACACACACACACACACACACACACACACACACACACAATCCCAGCACTTGAGAGGCAGAGGTAGGAGGATGGCAGCAAGTCTGAGGCCAGCCTGGTCTACATAGTGAGTTCTGGACCAGTTGGCTACACAGCAAGACTTGATTGATAAAACAAAACTGTCTTGATAAAAACAAATAAAAAATTAAAACAGGTTGCAAGTGAGGTAGCACATTCCTATAATCCCAGCACTCAGGAGGCTAAGGCAGGAAGACTGCTAGTTTAAAGCCAGCCTGAGCTGCATAGTAGAACCCTGTCGCCAAAACCAAAACAAAATATACGCAAAACCACCCCAAACTTAAGCAAATATAAAATATGGTTTCAGGGTTGGGGACATAACAGGCAGAGTGCTTGCCTAGTATGCATAAAGCCCTGTGTTCAATCTCTAGCACTGAATGGTAGAGCACACACTTTGACCTCAGCACTTGTTAGATGGTGGAGGCAGGAGGACTAGAAGTTCAAGGTCATCTTTGGCTACACAGCAACACAGTAAAAACAAGGAATGTATGTAGCCCAGGATGGCTCAGAACTAGGGATCCTCCCACATCAGCCTCCTGGGAGCTGGGATTACAGGCATGTGTCACTAAGCTTGGCTAACAAGGCTGACACTCATTGTATAGTCTATATATTGCTGGTGTTCCTGTCTCCAGCCTGTTACTTTCCAAGATATTAGAAAAACACTGCTTTAATCATATTAATTTCCTATTCAGAAACCTTTATGTTTCCTACTTGCTTCTGATAAAAGCTAAACGTTCTGCTTAGTCCTGGGAACAAGTATTCTCCCATTTCAGCTTCCCACATCACACTGAGCCCAGTCTCACCTAGTGTCCCTTCAGTGTTCAATTACATAAAGCTCTTCTGCAAGAGGGGCGAATACAACCCAGTCTTCCATTTTATGTGCACTTCCCTCATAAATGCTCTCATTTCTGTCTTATTCTACAATCTATTGATTCTGCAGGGCCCTGTGTTAGGGCCACCTGGTAGTTCAAGAAAGATGACTTCATCCATTGAACCATTCTTTGGTATGTGTGTATATGTGTGGTACCAGGAACAGAGTCAGGGCCTTAGTATAATAAGAATATAATAGAACTACAGCCCAGATGTATTATATTTTCTCACTCTGTACTCTAGGCTAGCCATGGACTCACAACTGTTCTCCTTTAGCTGCCCTAGTAGCTGGGATTACAGGTATGCACTATCACATCCAGCCTGAACCATTCTCTTAAACTTTATCAACCCATGCTATAGTTTTACATTATACATTAGTAATTTTTCCTATTAAATACATTTTTTTGAAAGTTAAAAACTATGAAGTAGGTTGGAGAGATAGATCAATGGTAAAAGTGCTTGCTATGCAAAAATGGGGGCCTGAGTCCAGATCGCAGCCCCACATGAAAAGAGGGGTGTGGCTGTAAACACCCCTGCATCCCCAGCACTGTGGGGGTTGAGACAGGATGGCTGGGGCTTGTTGGCCACCAGCCTAGTTTCAGGTTCAGTGAGAAACCCTGTCTCAAAAGAAGGAATCCTCGAAAAACCAAAAAAAAAAAAAAAAAAAAAAAAAAAAAAAGAAAAAAGAAGGAATCAAGTGAGTGATAGAGCAGGACACTAATGTCCCTGTGCACACTTAAACACACATCTAAAAATGTATATAGAGCAGGACACCTAATTGTCCCTGTGCATACATTCTCATTCTCTCCCTCTCCCTCTCCCTCTCTCACACACACACACACACACACACACACACACACACACACACACACGCATGCACGCACGCACGCACGCGCGCATACACACATCTAAAAATGTATATAGAGCAGGTCACCTAATTGTCCCTGTGCACACTCTGACACACACACACACACACACACCTAAAAATGTATACAGAGCAGGATACCTAATGTCCCTATAGAGCAGGACACCTAATGTACCTGTGCACATTCACACACACCCATATCTAAAAATGTATAAATCAAAAATCAAGATGTTTTCTTAGCTAGAGATAACCAATGTAAACATTTTAGAAATTTTTTTGTTGTTTTGTCTTTTGAGACAGGGTTTTTCTGTGTAACAGCCCTGGCTGTCTTGGAATCACTCTGTGGATCAAACTCAGAGAGCCGTCTGCTTCTGCTTCCTGAGTGCTGGATTAAAGGCAGCATCACCACCGCCTGGCCATTTTAGGATTTTTATCTTTATAAATATATACAATATATATATATAATATATATATATAGTATACATATACACTCATAAAAGTTTGTGAGCTTGTGCTGTTTTTATTTTATTTTTTCTATTTTGAGATAATGAGAGTTTTCTGGTGCCTCACTACAATGCCCTGGAAGTATGGAATTGCTCTTTAAAATGTTTAGATATTTAAACTATTTTCCCAGAGTGTAATTTCCCCTGATGGTAAAGGATGACTAGAGATGCTGAATGTGGACAGTGTAGTTGGAGTGGCATGTAACATTCCATAAGAATCTTCCTCCAGAAGACTTTTTTTCTTTTGGACACAGTCCCATTATGTAGCTCTGGCTGACCTGGGACTCACTGTACAGACCAGGCTGGCCTCGAATACACACACAAAGATCACTCGACTTTATCTCCTGAATGCTGAGGTTAAAGGCTTTTGCCCCCAAGCCCACACTTTCTAGAAGACTTAAAACCTCAAAAGATTATCTGAGTACACTTACTTCCTAGGAATGGTCCAGAATAAAACCCAATTGGAAGCTTGTAACAAAAGCAGAAAGCCTACTATGCATGAGTTCTACAAACAAACTAATTTCCTACTTATTTTACTAGTTTTTCTTTTTTTGAAATATTGGGCATTGATCCCAGTAATAGCCAAATGCTCTACCATTGAGATATACCCTAACCCTAAATGTCCTTTGTCATGCCAAGACTGAGCCTCTTTTAATAAAAGAAACATATTTCTCACTCTGTAACACAGATTGGCTTTGAACTTAGCAATTCCCTGGTGAGCCTCCTAAGTGTCCTAAGTGCTATGATTACACACATGAGCTACACCTGACCTCATATATCTGTTTTTGTTAATGTTCTTGCTCGATCTCTCAAAAGAAAAGGGGGGCCGGCCAGATGGATCAGTGGGTAAAGGCATTTGCTGCCATGCCTTAAGACCTGACTGAATCCCTAGAATCACATGGTAGAAGGGAAGAACCAACTCCCATCAACTGTCCTCTGATCTCCATCCTATGCTATGGCATGTATGCAGGTATGCATTTGTGCATAAACATGTACACACACACACACACACGCACACACACACACACACAGAGAGAGAGAGAGAGAGAGAGAGAGAGAGAGAGAGAGAGAGAGAGAGAGAATAAAAAAGAAAAATGCATTCATTTTAACAGTATTGGTAACTGTAATTTTGGCCAAATTAGACTACCCTAATAGTCTGTCATATGAACCAACTGAGCTACTCATAAAGTTTCAATGGATCAGGCCCTAGCAGTGTTTTCATCTTTCATACCTGTGATAGAATTGACGACGGAACGTAGAATTGTTGGTGGTTTAATCAGTTCTTTCAAAATGTTAGATTCAGTAGCCAGTGGGAATCCGTTGTCTAGCATTTCTTCCAAGAGCTCATACACTATGACCACATTATCCTTAATTGCAGCCTCTGAACACTCACCAAAGTAGTCCTAACAAAATATTCATAATATTGAACAACAGAAAGCATGAAGGAAGGCTTGCTTTTCTTTATAACACCCTTTTGTTCTGAAGAATAAACTAACGTAGCTTAACCTATGGTTTAAGACCTTAGAAATACATAGACATGAAAAATTCTCTAAGGAAGGCCTAACATTTCAATATTTTCTAACTGTATTTATAATGAATTGATTCCTATTATATAGCATGCTAGAAAGTGAATGTGAGCTATAAACTTCATTAGTCCTGATAAACCCACCTCCAAACACATATAAAGCTTTAAGCTATTTGGTTTATTTACTAAAACAAGAGAAAATAGAAAATGTAAATATAGAAGAGCTCATGATCAATAAATCTTTGGGATGATCCAGAGAATTCTAATGGAGGACACTCTTGGCTCCTGATGATACAGTTTGCCACACATATAAAAACAATGAACAGAGCAGCAATGTGTGCGACTGCATACTCTAAGTGTTTATGAGATTATGTTTAGTTAGAAAGAAAAGTCACACTGAACACATCAAAAACCTAAGTAACACACTTGAGCACATGGCTCTCCTTGAATTATCTTGGGTGATTTAGTTACAACAGTTTGATGGATACAAACCTGAAAAGTGTCAGCAACTCGATGCAGAAACTCAATGACAAAGAGAGGTGGCACTTCTGTCTGTATGACAGACACAAAGAAGAGCTTCTCCCGGTAGATACTAATGAGGTAGTGGTGAGGTGTTGGAATGACAGGTGGGACATTTTCAACATCAGCAGCTTTCTCCTGAGCTTCAAAGAAATAGTCACAGACAGACTGGCTCACCACGCTCTTCCAGTGTTTTTCTAGAAATATGTCGCCAGAGCAGTTGATGAGAAATAGACTGTGGATCATTTTCTGTGAAGGGAAAAAGAGGCTTCTATTTATTGTACATTGAAAATGCACAGTTGTAGTAGATGGTAATAAACACAGACTCACAAGTGGAAAATGTCGAGCAAGTGAGAGACTTTGGAGTACTCAGCCCTAAATAGGATGTCTTTATCACTCCCCTCTCTCAAGACTCAGGGGACTATAGAGAAGAAAAGGCAGAAAAATTCTTAAGAACCAGAAGGGGGTGAACAACTCCAAGGAAATAGCATCTTCCAGACACAACAGAGCTGATGCACATATGAACTCACAGAACTATGACACCACATAAAGACCCTCACAAATTCAACCAGACAAAAATCACAGCACAGAAAGGGAAGTAGACACCAAGTCCCATCCCTAAGCAAGGAGCTATGTGCAACCGACACCTGCTAGGAAAGAGAAAATCATTCTTCTCCAATAGAGCACTGCTGGGTTTATCAAGAACAATCTAGGGCAGACCCCATGCATAGGCGTAGCTGGCCAACACAAGAAGGATTCCATTGTGTGTGTGTGTGTCTGTGTGTGTACTTTATGTTTTGTTATTTTTGTGTCTTATTGTATTTTATTTGTTTTCTTTCTTTCTTTCTTTCTTTTTTTTTGGAGAGAGAGAACATGAAGTTGGGTAGGTAGGGATATGGGGGGAATCTAGGTAAGGGGGAGGACAAAGAATATGATCAAAATATATTGTATGAAAAAAAATCCTTGTCATATTGTCCTGACATAAAAACCAGACAAAGGCAATGTAAGTAGCTGCAGATCAGTATCACCCAAGAACACAAATGGAAAAGTTTCAAATTCTAGAAAACTAAATTCAGCAACAAATTTTAAAAAGTATAATTTATTCCATGAATGCAAGTTTGGTGGACTACAGGACAGTTATCAATGCTATGCACAGTAAGTGCCAGGTGGTTCTGCCAGCTTGACACCGCTGAGGCAAATCTGGAAGAGGAAATCTCAACCGAGAAATTGCTCCAGCAGACTGTTCTGAGGGCATATCTGTTGGCCATTTTCTCCACTAACAACTGATGAAAGAGGACCCAGCCACCATGGGTGGTGCTACCCCTAAGCAGAGGGTTCTGGGGAAGATAAGCTGAGCAAGCCACTAAGCAGCTTTCCTCCACAGCTCTGTCCCGACTTCCCTCCACTAACAACTGTGATCAGGATGTGAAAGCCGAATAAATGACCATGGTATTTATTTATCATGTGTGTTAACTAGCACATTTGATGTTTGCATGGGACACATGACACCATGTCTTCAAAACATAAAGAAACAAAACAACAGAAAAATATTTGTCAACTATGCAATAGGGGGACAACCCAAAACTGTGTAACTGCTTTATCTTCATTTTATGACAAATGCTGCAGAAAAGTGAAGTCAATTGTCTAAGACCACACAGTGTCAGATATAAGATCTGAACTTAACAGTTGAATTCTGAGCTCCTGCTCTTAACTTGCCTCTTATATGCTAATTACCAGGCACATATTTGAACACAGTGCTAGTCAGGTTTTCAGCAGCTAAGGAAATGTCCTTTATTTGTGCTGTCCAATAGGGTAATCATTGAATATGTGTAACTACTGAGTACCAGATATGTAGCTAACATGAAGCTGGGGGTAGTGGCACACACCGGTAAATCCCAGCACTTGAGAAGTGGAGGCAGGGAGATCAGGGGTTCAAGGCCAGCCTTGACCATGAACAGTAGATTCAAGTCACTTCAGGATATATGAGACCCTGTCTCAAAAAAGAAACACAACAAAAATGTAGCAAAGACAACTAAGGCACTGAAATGTTAACTATTTTTTGAGACAGTCTCACCACGTAGTGCAAGCTAGCTTGGAAATTGCAAACTTGGAATTTGTAAATTGCAAAAAGTGCTACCTTTCACAGCTAATTTGAAGTAATTTAAATACTCACATCTGGTTGTGATACTACTAGACAGTATAGTCAATGTGCTGTTCTGGCTTGATTTAAGAGGAAAAGTTGAAGCTTCAATATATAAACCAAAACATGTTCTAGTTTTTATGCTGAGAGAGTTTAACGGATCAGAGTAGAAATAAAAGAGGTGACAGGTTATTTCAAACCAGCAGTCCTATGGAACACAGTGGCAGTGCATTATCACAACACTCTCTAAGAGACTTGCCTGTTCTTGAGTAGTTTATTTTAGAGCTACATTTCCACCCATTTTCTTAAGCTGGTGAAGAATTCTTTCCAGGAAAGTTTCCACCAAAGTTGTTTTTATTGGCAGCAGTTCAGGTTTCAAAATACAGTGCTGTCAAACCAACCACTGGATTTCCCGTGGTTATCCTCTGTGCTGAGAAGAAAGCCTAACATTCCAGCAGCACTCAACAGCACTCAGCTTTCAAACCCATCTTAGCCGTCTCTAACAGGAGGAGAGATCTTACTCAGTCTTTCTATCCGTATTATGACCGACTGCCCAATGCATACAACGACGAAGCAACATCACACGGGGCAGCAAACACCAGCTCATTTCTTTATCACTTATGCTTTTAGTAGTTATTTTGTTACTTATTTTATTGAATTTTCTTAGAAAACTGAACAGGGAACACCATAACCAATGTGTGTGTGTGTGTGTGTGTGTGTGTGTGTGTGTGTGTGTGTGTGTGTGTGTGTGAATTTTGAATCACAAAACACTCCTACCAGAGTTTTGATTGTAGCTTAACTGCTTCATGAATCCTCTTTACTAAATGTGCATTCATCCTGAGGTCTTACAAGCAATACAATTACAAAAGTTAAGATATCTTTGGAAGTCAAGTGTCTAAAACACAAAGTGTGTTCTGTTTTTCTTTTTAGATATGGTCTTATGTTGCTGAATTTGGCTCAAGTAATGCCTTGCCTCAGCCTCTCAAGCAACAGGAACAAAAGTCGTTCACCGCACTTGATGTTCCTTCTGCACAAAGTTTAATGGCCTAGAATGGCCTACATCTAAAGTGAGAGAATGGGGGATGGGAAGATGGCCAGGTCAGTAAAGTGCCTGCCATGTAAGTGAGAGAACCTTTGCATCCCCAGCACCCATAGAAAACCAGGAGGTGGTGGTTTCTTCTGTAACCCTAACAGTGGAGTGGGGGTTGGGTTGGGGGTGTTGGAGACAGGCAGATCCTCAGGGCTTTCTGGCTAGCCATTAGCCAGTCAGTGATCTTCAGGTTCAGTGAGACCCTGTCTCAGAAAACATGGGGGAGAAACACAGAGAAAGACACTCAACTTAAATCTCTGGTCCCACACAAATGGGGGCCTCTGCAGTTGCACAAACCTGCACAAATACTCAATCACACACACACACACACACACACACACACACACACACACACACACACACACACGAAATAATGGTGCCCCAAAAAGAATTTAGTTCCTCTGAGTCTTAGCCAGAATCTTGACCATTTCCCCCCATTCAACAAACTGTTCTATATTTTATATACTAGGCATCTGGGATATGAGGATGAACAAAAAATTTCTAAACTTCTATTATTCAGCTGCAAATACAAATACAGTAAAAAACAAAACAAAACAAAAAAACCTACGAAAGGGGCAATATGGTGAGCTGCAGGAATCTTCACGGTTTAGAGGTACAAAGAGAACACATGAAAGAAATCCAAAACAAATTTTGCAACTCTTAAGGTGGAAGAAGTCCTGGGATAAAAGGTAAAGATATGTAAACAGCCACTGGTCATGGGCAAGGCTAACCTTGTTTGTTGTTCTTAGTGTAATGTAAAGTCATCTGCCAATTTTATTTTTTTATTTTGAGAGGAAACATGCAAATCTGATTTACATTTCTAGAAAAATTACAATAATTACACTATGGAAATTGAATAACAAGGCACTGAATTAAGTGACACCAGTTAAGATGAGTGATAGTGGGGCTGGATGGCTTGGAAGTTCAGAGCACTGGCTGCCCTTTCAGAGGATCAAAGTTTGACTCCCAGCACCCTTAAAACCAGTGGTTCTCAACCCTCCTAATACTGCCATCCTTTAACACAGTTCCTAATGTTGTGCTGACCCCCAACCATAAAACTGTTTTCATTGCTACTTCATAACTGTAATTTTGCTACTGTTATGAATCATAATGTAAATATCCGTGTTTTCCAATGGTCTTAGATTCCAAAGGGGTCGCAACTCACAGGTTGAGATCCACAGCGTACTGCTGTCTGTAACTCTAGTCCCCAGAACTAGAAGGTTAACAAGATGGAGTAAAATGAACAGGCTTTGAATAAAATTATATTTAAGTTTGGGTATGCTGTGTAGAAATAAGATGAAAGCTGATGTACTAAGATCAAGCCATACATGATTTGACCCAATTCGTAATATATTTGATTCAAATAAGTATATTATTCAATCACTGTATATAGGTATGGTGCTTCAAAGAGACTGGTAGGTTGTTAATGGGAATTACAAATATAAAAAAATTATATCCAAAGAAATTATGTGCATAGTAAGAAACATACATGAAATAAGAAACAGTATTTGAGTAGCACATGAGCCAAGGAGGTGGAACTAAAAAGAGACTAAGATGCAGTTGAAGGGGCAAGGGTGGTGGGAGATTTTCAGTAATTAAAGTATGGTAATGTATTTCGAGAAGAATGGTACAAAGTGGTCAAGTTGTGTTTTCCTTTGGGTTGGAGAGATGGCTCAACTGGTTAAGAGCAAGTACAGAACACTACGATTCTGGCTGGCTGTGGTGGTGCACACCTTTAATCCCAGCACTCGGGAGGCAGAGGCCAGCCTGGCCTACAGAGATCCAGGGTTACATAGAGAAACCCCATCCTGGAAAAAAAAAAAGATCCACATTCAATTCCTAGCACCACCAATGTCAGGCAGATCCTAACTGCACTCATGTGCACACATCCATATGCACACAATTAAAAGTAATAAAAAATAAATCTCAAAAAATGTCTTACAATTTTCCTTTCCTCATGAGGGTCTTTTTAAACTCTAATCCCTTACTCCTTGTCCAGTCATACCACTCCCTACAAATCATTTTTAGAAGATTTTTTTTTATTAATTTATGTGTATTATGTATATTTAAGTGTGGGTTTGTGCATGTAAGTGCAGTGCCCTAGAAGGCCAGGAGAGGGCAATGGATCTTCTTAAATTGCAGATACAGGGGAGTGGGATTAAAAGCATTCACTGCTTTTGCAGAGGACCAGAGTTTGGTTCCCAGCACCCATTCCAGGCAGCTCACAACCCAATTTTTTTTTATGTGTGTGTGTATTCATTTTTGTGAGTATATGCCATATGAGTGCAGGTGTCTGGAGAGGCCAGATCCTCTGGGGTTATAGGTTGTTGTGAGCCATCCAGTATGGGTGATGTGAACTGAACTTGGGTTTTCTGCAAGAGCAGCAAGTGCTCTTTACTGAGCATCCTTACCATCATCCCCCAGCCCCTGCCACACAAATTTAGAAAAAAAGAATATTGTAGTCTCATGCATGAAAAAGGGTACAAGTTTTGGTGCCTCACACCAAGTAGTTTTTTTTCCTTTAAATTCTTATTTTATATGTATGGGTGTTTTGTCTGCATGTGTATCTGTGCAGCACCCAAGAACGTCAGAGGGTCGGATCTCCTGGGACTGGAGTTACAGACAACTGGTAGCCACTATGTGAGGGCTGGAAATTGAACTTAGGTCCTGCAGCTAATGCTCTTAACCAGTGAACCATCTCTCCTGCTCCAAGAAGTAGTTTTTTTATCCACACCAAGACTATATGATTTAAGGTCAAGTGGACATTGGCGATCTTGGTTAAGATAATTTTAGTGGTAGCTCTGTAGGATGTTGGAAAGGAGACATTGCAGTGTGGTGCTTAGATCGAAATAGCAGGTAGGTATAAAAAAAAAGGAGATTGAGATAGCTCATCATGAAAGAGTGTCTGCCGCCAAGCCCAAGGACTCAAGTTTGATTCCCAAGAACCTCATGAAGGAGAGAAGTGAGCCCCACAAGCTGTCCTCTGACTTCTACATGTATGTTGTGGCATGAAACACACATACAACAAACAGGTAAACGAAAAAAAAATTTAAAGGAGGAAACTGAGAAGCAGAAGATATTATCACTGGGGAGGTAGTTGAAAGAACTTGTCCTCTCTAAGGAAAAGGGACATTTTCTTCTTTCAATAGAAAGGGGATTTGTATATTTGGCTGCAATGAATTCCTTTTTTTCTGTGTGATGTGTTCCAAGTTAAAAACCCCAAATGCCGCAAAACAAACAAACGAACAAAAGAAAAAAAAACCCACTTCTGTTCCTGTGACAACGCCGGATTTTACAGACCCAACTTCTCAACCGTGAAGTTAAAAGCTGCAGGATCAAACAAATCCATGACAGCCAATCGGCCCAAAACTCTTTACGTTTCCGTACTTCAGACCACCTTCTCAGTTTACAGCTGTCACCTATCTCTTGAGAAGCCGCAACACCCTCCTCACCGTTTCCCCACCCCCGGCTCGCTCACCCAGACGCCACCCTCAAATCAGGACGTTCTCTGAGGTTCATCAGGGACTCTGCCCTCCAAGACCAAACCTGGGGGCTGGTGAATTCTAGTCGTCGGTACTCCACCTCACGGTAGATGACAAGACCTTGTTCCCGCGCCTGGGGTCCAGGGTTCGAGAACCCTGCGTGGCAGGTGCACCGCTCCCTTCCGGCCCAGCCGGCTAGAAAGCCCGGAAGGCCGGGCGTGGAGGGAGGCCGGGCCCCGGCCCACAGCAGCAGGGACGCTCCTGGAGGCCAGGCTAGTGTTCCGAGCCCGAGCTATGCGGTCTACTCCCCGGCTTCTGAGCGGTCTCCAGCCCGCGGACTCCCCGCCCTCACACTCACCCCGACACCTGGGCGAGTCAGTGATTCGGTGCCGGGTCCTCTCTGGACCGAAGCTGAAGCAGCCGAGACAGCCGCGAGGACCCCGCGCTCGGAGTGCCCAACAGATTGCCTGACTAGCAGCCTCCGAGACGCCAAGGAGCTCCGCAGGACTAGAAAGATACAATGGGCGGGGAGGGGTTCAGTGAGAGGAACCGTGTCTCCAGAGGTTGAGGATCTGAATCTTCCACATTACTCAGGCTCTGGAAGAACAGGGAGGTTGGCACTCCCTGAGCGCAGGCGCTCCCCCGCAGCCTAACTCCGATCGGGGTCCCTTACCGTAGTAATCGAGGTCCTGGAGGGCCGGGACATCAGATGCGCGTTGAGCCAATGGTTTTGGACGAGCGTCGCGGATGGGGCGGAGTTAAGAGGGGGTGGGGCTTAGGAGAAAGGGGGCGGCGACGAGCCGAGGGGGCGGAGCCACCGGGCTGAGGGGCGGGGCGCGCGGCAGAGCCAAACTAGGGTGAGAGTGTGAAGATGGCAGCTGCCGAGGAGCCGAAGCCCAAAAAGCTGAAGGTGGAGGCGCCACAAGCGCTGAGGTGAGGAGCTGCCCGACGTGGGGAGGAGGGAGACGGCACTTGTGGCGAGCCAAGGCCCACGTGGGCTGGCGCAGCTGGATGGTGTTTGCGTTGGTGGGGCCAACAAGCAGGAGCTGCCGCTCGGGGAGTTGCCCGCGTGGCCGGCTGCTCATTGCCCCCTTGGTTTGGACCATGCTCAGGTGCATTCCCGGCCCTGGCAGCCATTGACCAATCAGAGCAGCTGGCCCGGGGGCCGAGCCTTCCGCTGGCGCCACGTGCGAGTCCTCGCGGGCTGCGCTAGCGCGACCCCAAAGGACCCGTCCGGAGCTGCATCCTTCCCTGGGGTGTAGCGGGAACGAGCCCCGTGCTTCCTGGACCCCGGTGAAAGATAAAATTCTTGGGATTTTCCCAAAGGCGTTGCGGTAGAGCATTTTGACCTTCTTTTTCTTTTGGTCACCTCTCTGAAATCATCTTTGGAGACCCCCCCTATCCGGGACCGGAATCTACCTCGGAGGCTTTGGCTGGGGTAGCCTTTGGCTAAATAGTTAGGGAAGTTTTGTTTGTTTTTCTTTTTTTCTTTGCATATTTGGCAGCCGCGGAGAGAGTGCTCTCCCAACACCTGACACAAGTAATTGATGTTGCAACTTTCACTTATAAAAAGCCGTTTGTTAAAAAGCCTTTCTTCCTAATAAGTCCAGAGTGCAATCTTTGATGCCTTTGAAGTGCTCATCGGAAGGCAGCGATTTTTCTATCTAAAAATAGACGCATCAAACTGATTTAGAACTGTGGGGTTATCACTGATTGTACAAGACAAATCCTATTTACTTCAACATATCTTCTCCATGTTCATAAGAATAATTTCTTCACAACTGAAAAGAAAAGGTTAGGTAGGAGCTCCGTATCATGTTTCTGGTTGAAATGGGTGATGACCAAATCCTTTCCAGTGGCTTTAAAATATGGCTACTCTTCTTAGAGGTTATTGTGCATGTCTAATACCACGAACGTTAAAAAAAATAACAAACCTTGAGGATGTTTTATTTTAAATTTTAGATTATCTGTGCCAGTGGGATGGCTCAGCATATAGAGGCATTGGCTGCCAAGTCCGATGACCTGAGTTGAGACTCCAGGACCCACGTGGTGGACTGAGTGAACCTTTTCTTCTGTTGTCCTCTGACCTTCACATGTGGCCCCCCCACTAAGTAAATAGTAACTGTCTCCTTAGATTTCTTTTAATAAAAGCAATACTTTATATATAATGATGATCCATTTTAACAATATTTACAATCTGTAGTAATGATATAAAGGCTCTATGAAAGAAAGGCAGAGATTCATATTTTACAGGTGAGGATATTGAAGTTCAAATAACATTTAAGAAAGGGAAATACGAACCCAGCGTATCAGGATACAAGTTTATTATTTGATTCTAGTGTGTTTATACAACATCCAAGGCATGCCTCTGTTTGCTTATGTGTCTTTAAAAATGATCCATGGTAATGTTTGGCACTGAAATATATATGTGCCAGGCACTGTTTCTGCATTCTACATGTTTTAACTCAATACCATAACAACCCGATAAGATAATCTCTATTACTATCTCAATTTAACCAAAAAGGAAACAGGCACATATCTGTTGTTTATGTCTATTTAAAACTTGTAAATAATTTAGATGAATAAAATTCACCTTACTTAATGCTAACCCAGTGCCATGTGCAGAGATGAAGTTAAAAGATTAGGTATTTTGACTACGGGGACAAATCTCTAATTTTATGCAGGGATCTTTGCTATTGACTTCCTACTTTTATTATACTGTATTAGTTTACCTTTCAGGATTGCTGTATGATAATGCATTTAGAGTGAATTACTGTATGATTAGCTTGGCAGTTAAGAGATTTCTACCAATTTTGTTTAACTGTTAAGGAAAATGACTTATAAATTATTAGAACAATTTAATGTATAGAGTCAGTCGTGGGGAACAAGTAAATTATTTATAGATGTCAGGGAATTTGGGAATCTGTGAGAAGTTCAGTTAGCTTTAGAGAAATAATTCTTATATATGTGTATGTTTGTGTGAATGTGTGTCATTTGTATGCCAGAAGAGGGCTTTGGCTGCCCTAGAGCTGAAGGTAAAGATAATTGGGAGCCACCTGATGTGAGTGCTGGGAACCAAGCTTGGCTCCTCTGGAAGAGCATATGCTCTTGCTCTTTTTTTTTTTTTTTTTAAATTTTTATTTAATGTGCATTGGTGTTTTTGCCTGCATGTCTGTGTGAGAGTGTCACATCCTCTGGAACTGGAGTCACAGACAGTTGTGAGCTTCCCTGTGGGTATTGGGAATTGAACCCAGGTCCTCTGGAAAGGCGGTCAGTGATCTTAACTGCTGAGCCATCTCTTCAGCCCTGAGCATATGCTGTTAACCATTGAGCCACCCTTCTAGCCTAGGAAGTGTTTTTAACTAGGGGAATTTTATCTTAGAAGAAACATTTGGCCAAACCTGGTGATAATTTTGGTGGAGTGGGGGAGGAGAGTAAAGTTTAAAGCTGCTGCCGGAGGGCTGGGGAGATGGCTGAGAGGGTAAACGTGTTTACTGCTGAGCCTGACAGCCCGTGTCCGTCCAGATCCAGGACCCATGGCGTGTGCACTCATGCATGGGCACACACAATAAACAAACAAATAAATGTCATTTAAAACATGCAAAAAGCTAGCATGGTGTCCCATGACTTTAATCCCAACAGTCGGGAAGCAGAAGCAGGCAGATCTCTGTAGGTCTCAGGTCAACCAGGGCTATATAGTGAGACCCTTTGTAAACAGCAACATCTGAAACCTATAGCAGAGATTTCCTTGTTTTGTCCCCTCATGATGCTCCCCATGTATTAAATGATATTCTAGGCATCTTAACAGTACAGAAGACGCCTCCCTATGATAAGAGATGGTCAGGCCAAAATTATCGGTACTGTTGAGAGTGAGGATTGCGTTAGGGAGACCATCTGACAAGAGTATCTTCCTATCTTATTCTTTATTGTTTTTTAGACCGATTGCTTTTTAGGGCATACCAGTTAATAAAGTTTCAAAGAAAGAATCAGACTGTAACATGTTTCCAGGTAGAAACAGTAATTGAGTAGCAGACATTTGTACAAGGACTACTTAATTTTCTTTTCTCTCCTTTGGAAATGTTATTCAAGTTCATTGCTTCAGCGGTCACCTCTAAGAAGACACAACACCTTCCAAGTAGTGTTGAACACATGCCAAGTCTGTTCTTTCAGGCTGTCTTTCAAGTATGTGCTATTTTAGGCATGGTGCTAAAAACTGGGTATTGAGAGAAAGAAGAAGGTAAGATCCAGATGCCACTCTCCTCCTGGGGACTAAGTAGAATTTGGGAAAGTAAAACCTGAGCATTAGTAAGACAATAAGAAATTAACCAGGTATGAAATAAGGTATCTGCCTTTATAGGAAAATGATTCTGGAAGCAGGTCCGCTGTTGGGGATTGAAAATGAGACCATTTGACTTGACTGGAGTAGACAGTAATAAGTGTCTAGGCTTCATGTTGGGCATCTTCCTATGTGCTATTTCTGTCTGTATATTCTCATGTAGCCCAGGCTGGCCTTGAACATGATTTGGAACCAAGGATGACCTTAAACTTGTGTTTTCCTGGCTCCATCTCACCAGTGCTGGGATACCCAGTTTTCAGAAGCTAGTTTTAACTGTTGAATGTCCCCAAGTGCTTTGCTGATCTCTAAAGTCACATACATGCAAGCAAATCCATCTCTTGTCCTAGATGTGGACTCTCTCCCATGGCTCCTGTGTCAGTTAGGAGCAGTGCGAACCTCCCTTTCTCTGAAGTGTAGACTTCATCTTGGCTTAGGTTTTTCTTAGCTTTTTAGCTAGTTCCTGTGCCTCCAGTTTCAAGCTCTGCCATATCAATTTTAGATACAACTCTACTTAATCATCAGAGCAAATATTTGTTACTGTGGACTTGGTATTGGGAAAGACTGAATCCTAAGAGCCAGTTAGCGTGACTCCTTCTGACATTAATGATTAAAGAGTGTTCAGAGGGTCTGGGGAAGGATGGGTCAGTGGGGAAGGCACTTACCTCGCAAGCAGGAGGGTTTGATCCCTGGAACACATGCAAACATGCCAAGTGTAGTGGTGCACTTCTACCCAGCGCGGGGAGGGCGGAGACACAGGATCCTTAGGCCAATTGGCAAGCTCCAGGCTAATGAGAGACATTCTGTCCAAGGAGGGGGACTGAATTCCCAAGGATGACACCTAAGATTGTCTCCTGGCCTCCGCATATATGCAAACATGTGTACCAGCGCACTTACGTGCACACTTGAAAAAAGATTGTTTAAGGGTCATATCTTTCAGTATTATTTAAAAAGAAACAGACAGCAGTTTTCTATTCAGCAAACACTGAGCTTTCCCCAAATACTGCTTCCTAAACACTTCACTCATAAACCCCTATTTTTCTTTTCCCTAGTCCCCTATATCACCACACCCCCGTGTTTTAAAATTACACTGTGGACCTAAAAACAAGTGTGTAAGTATGACAGGTGATCAGAGAAGAGTTTTAGTAATGTCTTGCAAAACACATTTCCCCCCCTTCAGAAAACAGTGTGGAAGACGAGAACAATGAGCATGTGCTCATAGTGGTCTGCTAAGATTAACTGAGGAAAATATGTTCAGACCAAAAAGGCTGCTGGTGTATTGTACAATGTCTGGTCATAATAACTATTCAA